GGGACACTGGGAGGGTCAGGGACACCCTGGGGACAGCTGGGTGGCACCCTGGGGACACTGGGAGGGTCAGGGACACCCTGGGGACAGCTGGGTGATGTTTGGGGACCCTGGGAACACTTTGGGGACCCTCAGTGACATCTAGGGACCCTGGGGTGACATTTGGGGACCCTGGGTGATGTTTGGGGACTGGGGACACTGAGGTGAGGTTTGGGGACACTGAGGTGACATCTGGGGACGTGGGGTATTTGCTTGACGTCTGGGGACCCTGGGTGGCGTTTGGGGACTCTGGGTAATGTTTGAGGACTCTGGGTGACATTTGAGACTGTGGGTGACATCTGGGGACCCTGGGTGATGTCTGGGGACCCCGGGTGACATTGGGGGACCCTGGGTGACGTCTAGGGACCCTGGGTGATGTCTGAGGACCCCAGGTGATATCTGGGGACTCTGGGTGACATTTGGGGACCCTGGGTGGTGACTGAGGACCCTGGGTGGTGTTTGGGGACCCCGGGTGGCATCTGGGGACCCTGGTTGACATTGGGGGACCCCAGGTGACATCTGGAGACCCTGGATGGCATTTGGGGACCCTGGGTGACATTGGGGGACCCCGCGTGGCGTTTGGGGACCCCGGGTGGCGTTTGGGGACCCTGGTTGACATTGGGGGACCCCGGGTGGCGTTTGGGGACCCCGGGTGGCATCTGGGGACCCTGGTTGACATTGGGGGACCCCAGGTGACATCTGGGGACCCTGGATGGCATTTGGGGACCCTGGGTGACATTGGGGGACCCCGGGTGGCGTTTGGGGACCCTGGGTGGTGTTGGAGACACTGGGTGACATCTGAGGACCCCGGGTGGCATTTGGGGATCCTGGGTGACATTTGGGGACCCTGGGTGGCATCTGGGGACTCTGAGTGACATCTGGGGACCCCGGGTGATGTCTGGGGACGCTGGGTGACATTGGGGGACTCCGGGTGACATTTGGGGACCCCAGGTGACATCTGAGGACCCTGGGTGATGTCTGGGGACCCTGGGTGGCGTTGGAGACACTGGGTGACATCTGAGGACCCCGGGTGGCGTTTGGGGATCCTGGGTGACATTTGGGGACCCTGGGTGGCATCTGGGGACCGCGGGTGATGTCTGGGGACCCCGGGTGACATTGGGGGACCCCGGGTGACATTTGGGGACCCCGGGTGGTATTTGGGGACCCCGGGTGACATCTGGGGGCGGCGGGGCTCACCAGGGAGATGCCGAGGCTCCAGACGTCGGCGCGGATGTCGTAGTCGGGCTTGGTGGGGTCGGGGGGGTCGATGCGCTCGGGCTGGGGGAGGGGCAGGCTTGGGGACACTGGGGCGGCGGGGCCCCAGAACCCCAAACCCGGGAACCCCCGAACCCCAAACCTGGGAACTACCAAAGACCCAGAACCCCAAACCCGGGAACCCCCAGGACCCCAAACCCGGGAACCCCCAGAACCCCAAACCTGGGAACCCCCAAACACAAACCCCCAAAACCCAGGAACCCCCAGAACCCCAAACCCGGGAACCCCCAGAGACCCAAACCTGGGAACTACCAAAGACCCAGAACCCCAAACCCGGGAACCCCCGAACACTCAAAACCCCAAACCCGAGAACCCTGAGAACCCCAAACCCGAGAACCCCAAACCCAGGAACCCCCAAACACAAACCCCCAAAACCCGGGAACCCCCAGAACCCCAAACCCGAGAACCCCAAACCCGGGAACCCCCAGAACCCCAAACCCGGGAACCCCCAAACACACAAAACCCCAAACCTGGGAACCCCCGAACACTCAAAACCCCAAACCCGGGAACCCCCAGAGACCCAAACCTGGGAACCCCCAAACACACAAAACCCCAAACCCAGGAACCTCCAGAACCCCAAACCTGGGAACCCCCGAACCCCCAGAACCCCAAACCCGGGAACCCCCAGAACCCCAAACCTGGGAACCCCCAAACACTCAAACCCCCAAACCCGGGAACCCCGAGAACCCCAAACCCGGGAACCCCGAGAACCCCAAACCCGGGAACCCCCAAACACTCAAAACCCCAAACCCGGGAAAACCCCCGAACCCCCAGAACCCCAAACCTGGGAACCCCCAAACCCGGGAACCCCCGGCACCCAAAGCCCCAGAGCTGGAGGCATCCCCCAGACCCCAAACCCGAGGGGATCCCCAAAACCCCAGAGCAGGGGGGGACCCCCCGACAGCCCCAGCCCCAAATCCGGGGTGCAGCCCCTCGCCCCAGCCCTGGGGACCCCAACACCCCCTGATCCCCCCAAAGTCCTGCTCCAGGGCTGGCGCGTGTCCCAAATGTCCCCAGTGTCCCCCCCGTGTCCGCAGTGTCCCCCAGTGTCCCCTCACTGCCATGTAGACCTCACAGCCCATGCCCTGGGGGATGTCCCAGTGTCCCCCCTGTGTCCCCAGTGTCCCCAGTGTCCCAAATGTCCCCCCAGTGTCCCAGTGTCCCCCCCAGTGTCCCCAATGTCCCCCAGTGTCCCCAGTGTCCCCAATGTCCCCCCAGTGTCCTCAGTGTCCCCTCACTTCCATGTAGGCTGCACAACCCATGCCCTAGGGGATGTCCCCAGTGTCCCCCCGTGTCCCCAATGTCCCCTCAGTGTCCCCCCAGTGTCCCAAATGTCCCCCCAGTGTCCCCAGTGTCCCCTCACTGCCATGTAGGCCGTGCAGGCCATGCCCTGGGGGCTGTCCCAGTGTCCCCAGTGTCCCAAATGTCCCCTCAGTGTCCCCCCAGTGTCCCCAGTGTCCCCCCAGTGTCCCCAGTGTCCCCTCACCTCCATGCAGGCTGCACAGCCCATGTCCTGGGGGCTGTCCCAGTGTCCCCCCAGTGTCCCCAGTGTCCCCCCCGTGTCTCCCCAGTGTCCCCAGTGTCCCCTCACCGCCATGTAGGCCGTGCAGCCCATGCCCTGGGGGCTGTCCCAGTGTCCCCCCCAGTGTCCCCAGTGTCCCCCCAGTGTCCCCAGTGTCCCCTCACCGCCATGTAGGCCGCGCAGCCGGCACTCCGGGTCTTGGCCTTGGAGTCCACCAGGCGGCCGCTGATGCCGAAGTCGCAGAGCTTGACCTGGCCCCGCTCGTCCAGCAGGATGTTGGAGGGTTTGACATCCCTGTGGATCACCCCGTGCTTCTCCTTCAGGTACAGCAGCGCCTTCACGATCTGCGGGCCAGGGATTGTCCCGTGTCACAGCCGTGCCACCTCCGTGCCACCTCTGTGCCACCATTCCCCTGCCCAGAACCAGAGGCACCCTGAGTGTCCCCGGTGTCCCCTGTGGGGGACACCGCTTCTCCTCCAGGTACAGCAGCACCTTCACGGGCTGTGCGAGAGGGATTGTCCCCAGTGTCACCTCTGTGCCACCACCACCCTGCTCACTGTCACTGTCACTGTCACCCAGCCCAGGACCCGCTCGGGAATGGGGCGCTGGATCCTGGGGACCCCCTGTCTGTCCCCAGTGTCCCAACTGTCCCCAGTGCCACTCACTGCCACTGTCACCTCACCCAGAATCCCAGAGCCACCCTGCATGTCCCCGATGCTCCCAGTGTCCCCAAGTGTCCCCAGATGTCCCCCCATCCCCAATGTCCCCA